GAGGAGTCCTGGAACCCTCAGTGGCTTTTGCAGGCTTTTATTGGGATTACCAGGTACACAGCAGGCAGGGTCTCTGGGGGGCCGGGAGGCTTAAAGGCCTCCCAGCCCCCAGCAAGTCTTCACTCTGGGCTCTCCGGCCTTCTCTCACGTTCTCTCTGCTCTTCTCATGGCTCTGCTTCTCTCTCGGCTTTTCTCTTGGCTTCTGTTGGCATCCCCGTGTCGCCACCCTTAAAAGCCCAGTCTCAGCCCAGGTGAATCCCATCTACCTATGCCCACACCCTACTCCAGGTGCCCGCCATCAGGCATGCATTCAGGACCACGGGGATCCATCATTAATGCTAATGGCGGGAAGGCAGAAGAGCCTGACACTTACCCTACACTGTCCCACATAGGGTCTCCTAGCTGGGGGTAAATCTCCATCAATGCTCTCTTGGCCAAGTTCTGTCGGGGGCCTCTGGCTCCTAGATCTGGTCCCCACATTCATCAGATCCAGGGGAAGCCTACTGAGGATTGTGGGGGTTGCCTTTCTTTGCTGTGGCTTGTTCTTACAGTGAGGTCAGGTGCAGCCTACTCAGTTGGGAGCATGGGCCCACCCTGACTCTCCTCTGCAAGGCTTCCTGGGACCTTCAGTTCTGCTCCAGAGGGTTGCTGATTCTTTATCCCTAGCACTTGGGCCACACTTCACACTGATGAAAGTTCTGAGTCAGCAGGTTTGGGTCAGAACCAGGCCATACCCACGTGATTCCCCAGGTTATCTGGTTTCTTGTTGAAACTGTTGGCAGGCAGCTGGGTTTTCAGATGGCCTGAGGGGATCGGAGATAACCTGAGCCAGGTTCAGATCATTTGTATTCATTCTCTCCAGATAAGTATCAAGGTGGGTCTCCCTAGTGGCCTAGGGGATTAATGCTCAGTGCTATTACTACTGCAGCCTGGGTTCAATCACTGGCCAGGGAGCTGACCCACTTGGCGAGGCAGACCTCTCCTGACTTGCCCTCTGCTCCCCTCTGCAGTGTATTTCAGTTCAGTCCTTAAGTCCTTTCGGCTCCCCAGTGAATCCTCTCACTGCCTCCCCACCCCCACACCTCTGACCTATACCCCAGTTCTTACACTCAAAAATAAGTATATAAAATCTTTTTTAGGGCCTCCCTGGTGGCGCAAGGGGTTAAGACACAGCCTATGAAGCTGTCCGCAGCCACTGCAGCATGAGTTCAATCCCCGGCCAGCCAGGGAGAAACCCACTTGGCACAGCAGACCTCTCCTGACTTGCCCACTGCTCCCCTCAGCAGTGTATTTCAGTCAGTCTGCCTGTTCTGTTCCCGACTCTGTCTCTGGTGGATCCTCTCACCCCCCGCACCTCTGGCCTGTACCCCAGTTCTTGTATGCACAAATAAATAAATCTTTAAAATCTTTTTAAAATCAAGGAATTTTCTGGCCATCTAGCCCCACCCCTTCCTTGGCCTTCCCCAAGGGAAGAAGGACATTGGCCTCTAGAAGAATGCTGAGGGCTGCCTGTGAGTTTAAATGGCACCCACAGTTTCCTTCTAGAATTCTACGATTATAGATTAGTCCATAACACCACAGATGGAGGCTAAGAGTAGGAAATTTAGGATGGAGGTGACACAAGACCAAAAACTGCTGTGGGGCTAGAAATGATTAACAGAGTGGCTAAAACAGCTATAGAAAGGTATCCTGAGGTGCAGACTGAAGGTGGGTATACAGAGATTGAGGGCCACTGTCAGAATTACTGATTCTTTCAAATCTAACTGTTGTAGAGCAACCCCGATACAAAACGGGGTGCCTGACTGTGGGTCCTCACCCGCACGCTTAAAAGGACTTATCAATGCTCTACTGCAGGCACACGTGAAAGGTTAATAAAATCAGGACATCACTTCCCCCTAACATACCTAGTTACACCCTAGAAATAATTAATTTAACAACAGTTATCAATTCCATAAAGGGACAAAACTCCCTCCCCACAGAAAGAAGATTATGTAAGAACAAGGCTGCCCCCCTCTGCAGCTCACCTGCCCGCCTGTGACTATGCAGGTGTTTCTCTTCACCAACCTCCTTCCTTTGCAAAGCAGCAGAGGCAGCTCTCCCCCCAAGGCTGCCCGCCTGTGACATGCTGGTGTCACCTTTAACAACCTGTTCTTTTCAGAAGCAGCTCTTTCTGCCTGCTTATGTCTGTGCAGGCATCCTGTCCCTTTTCTTATATAATGAACCTGCCCTTTTGGATATAAGTAAACGTCTCTGCCGCGTGAGCAAACTTGCTGAGTGCCACTGGAAGGGGAGCTCTGCTGAGTTTCCTCAGTGGTGACCTAAGGACCCGGTTCTCTGAACAGAACACTTCTCCAAACTGACATCAACCACAATGTGGCATAAAAAGCCCAGCCCCTCAGGTAGTGGTCTGCTGAGTTTCTACAGGTAGTGAGGCCAGTTGACTTCACCAGGACCCACCCAGCCCCCTTTTCTCCAGTCTGAGGCACATACAGCCCAGAATGTCTTTCAAATTGACCCACACACAACATCTCCTGAGACTTCCTGGTCCCCAGGTCACAGTGAGGGGCCCCTTCTTGCTGTTCCTGTAGCTCCTGCCTCCCCTGTAGCTTTTATCCTGTTGTATTATGGCTGCCTGCTTATTTTTCCACCTCCCCTCTGACATTAGTTCCTAAGGGCAGGGACCATTTCTGTCTTGTTTGCCCAGTATGTAGTAGGTACGTAGAACATATTTTTTAATAACAGCAACAACAACATTTACTAAGCATTTGGAAAGGGCCAGATGCTTGGCAACCATTGAATAAGTTAGTCCTTACAAAACCCTCTAGGGCTAGGGACTGTTTTATGGGTGAGGAAACAAAAACTGAGCCAGGAGCCAAGTTATTCAAAACCAAGGTGGCTGGAACCCATACTCCTGCCCCTGCCCGAGGCTGTCCTCAGATGACCTGATCTTATGTGTACGGGGTCACTCACACAGCCCGGCTGCCAGGCCAGGGGACAGCACCCCTCCTTGCTCTACCACCAGGTCCTCACTAAGGGCCTGGCAGTGAGAACCTTATAAAATGAAAGAAGCTGCCTGGGTCCCGTCCCCCCTGGAAGAAACTGACTCAGCCCATGACAGGGGACAGAAATACCAAAGACTTGAAGAACACTGCCGGGAGAGAAGCTGTGGCCATTCTCAGCTTCAGCCTTGCCTTTCAGGCTTCCTTTTCCTGCTGTCCTGGTGGGAGAGGCCCACAGGCCACTCAGTGCTCCATGACATTCCCAGCAGGCCTGGGGGTGCCACACCTCAAGGGACAGTGGCATTGCTGGGCTCATTTCTCTCTAGAGCAAAAAGGGAGACCACTACTGAGAGGTGGTGGGAGCCTTTGTGAAAACTGCAGCCAAGTCTCAGAGGCCAGGGAATGGAGGATGTCCTCCCTGCTGGACAAACGGGAGGGCTGGTCCCAGCAGAGACCTTCCCTCTGTGCTCTGGGAGAATTTCTTCTACTGGGTTATATAAGGCCTGTTGTTAATGGCCAGCCTGAGGGCTTTTGCTGATTCCTCTAGGGATTAGCTAAAGATTAACAGCCTTAGTTCCCAGGAAAAAAGGAGATGGTGAGAGAGAAAACGGGACTCCGGAGAGTTAGATTTGCAGAACAGCAAGAGAGTAGACACTGGAGAAGCAGCACCAGAGCCCTGCAAGGAAGGGAGGAAAAAGAGAAGGGAGGTGGGAAGCTGGCCCACCCTGGCCAGGGAGGAGGCCTGACAAGGTGGTGGTGTTAGGGGCAAAAGATGTCCTGAGCAAGCTCCATACAGGCTTTGTGGACTCCACCCCCACTCCATCAAGACACTGGGAACTACAAATCCCATCATCACCAAAGGGAGGTTTCGAGGACCTGAGGGCAGAGTTAAGCAGCTAGACTTTCAGGTTGGGTATTTAACCAGTCATGTGGCCAGGGGTGGGGGGTTGCATGCTTGGCCACGAGGCAAGCTAGGTTTTTTTGCCAGCTCGGCGGGTCACTGGGATTCCATGTTAGCAGAACGGGTAGGACGCATTTACCAACTTATCTCCCTCTTTTTCTCCCTGAGTTATTCATTTCCCATTTCTTCTTCCCTTGTAAATAAACCTTTTATCAACCTTTTGAGTATGTCTGCAGTTTAACATTAATAAGTCCCCTTTAAGCGCATGGGTGAGGACCCACAATCAGGCAACCCCATTTTATATCGGGGTTTGCCCTGTAACAGTGGCAGCAGGGACTATGCTCCTTGAGAGGAAGACCAGGGACAGAGACTGCTGCCAGGATCTTCTGTAGCAAATTGCCACCTTAGCCCCGAAGAAGCCGGACTCTGCAGCCACCAGCCAGAGCTTTGCCCCAGGGTCCTAAGGGTCCTTCTGGTGGTCAGAAGTTCTGGGGAAACCTGGATGAGCAGCCTTGAGACAAGGTGGGGTGGCCAGAAGTGGCTGCATTCTGGGGAGGTTTAGCACACACTGGCCTGCCCACCACAATTCATGTGCACATTGAAGTAGCATTTATTTTTACCAGGGCAGGTTCGGCTTCTGATCACAGAAATGGTGAGGGCTTTCCATTGGTTTCCATGGAAACATAGGCAGAGCATCTGCTACCAGATCAAGCAAGGCTGGGCTGTTAAGATTCCTTCTGAATGGTTTTGCTGTTTACTCAGAAGGCTTGACTCACCTGCTTTTTCACTATTTGGCTTCTAGCGTGGGAGAGGAGAGGAAGGGCAGTCCAGAGGGATCAGGGCTGGTGGCCAGAGGGTTGGCTAAAGGCAAGCATTGAGAGAAGCCCTTGGCTTCTCTTTCTAAGCCCCATATAGGTTCCTGTGATGAGGTCACAGGAATCTGGTCTCTGGTTCTAGCCTGACCCTGCCCTGTAACAAGGCCAGCCGCTGGCTCCCTTCTGAGTCCCTGTGGCACCAAGGGGCACATAGGCCAAAGAGCAAATTTTCAGGTGCTGGAGATAATTAGATCAGAGCATTTTCAGTTCCATTTTACAGAACAGAGGCATGGACTTTGCTACAAGGCCTGGGAAGATGGCACTGAGGGCTTGGCTCTGGAGCCAGAAAGCAAGACAACGGTGCATGTGTACATGTGAGAAGTGGTTTTATTCCAGGTGTATTTTCATAAAGACAAAGTCCTCAGGGACAGCTAGTGGCACATGCTTTGGTCAAGAAGAGGAAAAGCAAAAACAGAATAGGGTTGAGTCCCACAAAGGACGGCGGACAAGTGCCGAGCCTGGTCTGACCTCAGGGGAGGAGGGCAGGCCCCTCCACGTCTCTCTGAGCAGCAGTCCTCTTACATTCAATGACAGAAGTACAGGCTCCCCCTCCCCAACAGGCCACATTGCCTGCTGGGTGGACACGAAAACGGAGGTGGAAGTGGATGAGACAACAGAGGACAGGAGAAGTGTGGCCAAGGGCCCCGGGTTGGTGAGCTCAGGAGCTGAGAGGACGCTGGTGAGAGCCAGGAAGGAGGGGACACCACTAAGAGCTCTCCAGGGGGGCGCTGCCAACTAGGGACGATTGGCCCCTGACCCCTAGGACCGAGTAGAGGGAGCAGGAGGGTGGCAGCGCAGGCACATCGGGGAGGGAGACGGGCACAGTAGCTTCAACCCAGAGCAAAGGTTCAGACCCTTTGGGGCTCAGGGATCTCTGTAAGAAGCTGGGGAAAAGCACAGACCCTCTCCTCAGGAAAACGCATCTAAGCACACATGCAATATCTGGGGGATAATTTCAGCAGATTCCTAGGCCCCCTGGGAACCATAAACTCTCTAGGGGGTTGTGGGTCTCTAAGAAAGGCCAGGGGAATTCCTGGAGTAGCTGTGTCCATCCCATTTCATTAGCTATGGGAGGGGCCTCCAGGGTCCTGGTATCAACCTCTTTTACCCAAGATCATACTGCCTGAGTCGGCAGGGGGAGAGGGGGTGGAGGAAAACGGGGCACAGCAGAAACAGCAAGACAAGTCCATGGGGTAGAAGGAAGAGGCCGGTGAGGATGAGAAGGACCCAGGCGCTCTCCGCACAGACAGGAGCCAGCAGCCCGCCTCCCGGCCCACTGCGGGAGCTGACCTTAGGGGCCTCTCTTCTGAAGTGGGGAGGGGTGAGGATGAGGCTTAGCCTGGATGACTTATCTCCCAGGGACTTAAGGAATGTTTATGCTCCAGAAATGAGGTTCCATTCTTACAGGGTACCCCAAGGCCACAATGCTGTATTTACAGGGGCAAAGGCTTTTGAGAAGGCGGGAGTCAAAAACTATGAATGAGATCAGAGCTGTTCAGTGGTACCTGATGGCTGCCTCTCTTTGGGGGTCCTCATGGTGGGCCCAGGCAGGGGGGCCAGGGCACAGCTGGTCATTAAGGCCCGAGGGAGAAGTCTTAGCCTGAAACATGGTCAGAGGCGGGGTGTGTTTAGCTAAGTGTGTCTCAAGGCTGCCCACACAGCCTCTGACTAAGAATGTAGGGTCAGAGTGGAGGGCTGGAGGCAGAGGCCTGGGCTGGTACGTGTGGGAGGAGCTGGGGTCCTCGGGAAGAGACCTGCGCTTTGGGTGGTCTTGCAGCTCTTCTGCCCATGTCCTGCAAATCCTACATGTTTTTCCCAGATTCCAGCCCTCCATACCCAAGCCAGTGCCTGCCCGGGACAAGCTGCTGAGCCCCTCACCTCCTTCCTGTTCCTGGCTGTGCCGCAGGCTGCCCCCTCCTCTCACCTTCAGCTTTCCCATCCACGACGCCCACATTCTCCTCTCAGCCCCCGTGACCCAATGAGGCTGCTGTGTGGGCTTCTGTATTTGTTCTCCTCATTCAACAAGGGGAGGATTGTAAACCACAGCCTGGGCCCCCAGGAGGACCACGGGAGGGGACAAAGGACCAGGACACCTCCCAGTCTCCATCCTACAGCAGTCCAGCACCCTGAGCGCCCCCTGTTCCTGGCAAGGCCAGGAAGGCCCTCCCTGTGCAAGCTTTGGAGAGTCGTGTCATGGCAGGGCTGTTTGCTGATGATTCTGGCAGAAATGTGAGGAGATGGAAAGGGCCCGCTTTACACTCGCCCACCCTAACCCCTTCGGGTCCCAAAGTCTCATGCAAAAGGTACAGGAGGCCCTGGGGCTACCGTCATGTGTGGGGCAACAGCTGCCACTGCTGGGCCGGGGCATCCGCCTGGCACTTGCTGGTCACCAGCTGGTCGGGCTTGGTCTCCAGGCAGAGGCCGCTGGCTGAATGCTGGATGAAAGAGGCTTTCCTCCTCCATCTCTGGGGAAGGAAAACAGTAATTGTAACGTAAATGACCCTGTGTAATCTGTACCCCTTCATTTATCAATCTGTGCGTCCCCTACACTGGAGGCTCCCCACGCCCCTGCTGTGCTATTGCCTCTGCAGTGTGGTGTGAAGTCACTGTCTAGAACAGAGGCCTGTGGGCTGACTCTAACCCAGAGATGTATTTTGCTTGGCCTGCACAGCGTTTATTTAAAACTCGGCCAAGTTGTCACAGAAAGTCTGCATTTCTAGTTTCCTCTTAGACTTGGGCCACTTTCTTCTGTGACATCACTGTTTGGGCCCAGGATCTGCTCCTAGCTGTAGATGGGGCTCTGTCTCGGTTCTCTGTAGTCCCAGGACTGAGAAAGAGGTTCCCAACCACTCCCCAGAGGCACTTGAGTTTGTGGGTTCTGGCCTAGGTGAATCTTTCACTTCTCCAAACATTTCTTTTCCCTGCAGATCTAAGCTGACCTGGTCTGTAACTGCAGCTGGCTGCCTACATACTTTAGCAGATCGCGAGCAAGGCCAGCAGGTGGCAGGAGTGCTTGACTCCCTATTAGAGTCATGAAGGGGGCCTAGGTCAGTGCCTTTTCCTTCTGGTGCCTCCAGTGCCCACATTTAACAATGGGGGGGCGTGGGAGTGTGTGTTCCAGTAGAACATGTTGGAGGTGCCTGGATGGAGGATGGAATGTTCTTTGGAACATTTAGGCAGGAGAGGCTGAGACCCCGGTCTCAAAGCTCAGGGAAGAATAAATAGTGAGATAAGTCTTTTGGGGGCTTCTCTCCTATTTTCTGTCCCATTCATCAATCTCCTATCTTCCTATGCCCACCTGGTCCTCCATAAGAAGTGCAGAGAGCTGGTGACTGTGTGAGTGGAGCCAGAGGCTCTGAGGGGGAGGGGAATGTTCTTTTTGGAGCTGCAGGGAGAAGGGAAATGAGCTGCATCCCACCACAGGGCCAGGGCGGGGCTCTGAGGTTACTGGAGTGGGCACAGAAGGGAACCGAGTAGGATGAAAGGTGGGGAGCCGCAGAGCCTGGATTCCCCCTGTGAATGCAGAGCTATGAATCAGCCCCTCCGACCCACGTGGCCCCAGCAGCGGAGTCTGAAGGTCAAGAGTGGGGTAGTACAGGGCCTCGGCTTTCTCTGGAACTCACAGCATCCTATTGCCTGTTCTCACCTAGGCCAAATGTCCAGCAATGCCCAGCTAGAGTGCGCACCCCCTCTCCAGGAGGTCTGACTGACTGTTATGTCCTAGTACCAGGCTCCTCGGGGCTGCACGGGCATGCTTAGTGCTGCCTCAACATCTAGCCCTGGTGTGGGGTGGATGACTCCCTCCCCTTCCTCCCCCGCCAGACTGTAAGCTCCTTGGGGACCAAGGACCAAGCCCTTCTTTCATGCTTGTGGCCAACATGATCCGCACAGACCCTGGCACAAGGGTAACACCAAGTGCAGTTTTATTTTATGAAGAATGAATGCAGGGGTGAATGCATGAATCCCTTAATTAAGAGGTGCTCCCTAAATCATAAGGGTCACACTTCCTTCCAGTGCCACTGGGCACACATTCAGGGCACTCCCAGCTACGTGGCCTGGCCAGTGAAACAACATCTCCTCCAGCACACTCCTGCACCACCACCCCTGGCCTTGGTTCTGGCAGCTTCCTTGTGGGGCAGGCAGAGGAGAGAGCCCCTCATTTTATAAGATAGAAGACTGAGGGTCAGAGAAGTGACCCCGCTAGACTTGCTGGCCCCATCACACTGTCACTAATGCACAGGGAGACATGACACCACATGGCTTTGGAAACAGGGTTAAAGGGAATCAAGAGGGAGCCCAGATTCTAGAAGACTTTGGCACTGGCCAGCCTGTCCTCCCAGGGGGAGAGGGCATAGCTGCCCAGGGTGCTGTTGGGGGGCCTGGCAGGACTTGTAGGATCAAAATGAGTGGAACCAAAGGAGATTGCTAGAGCACCTTAGCCAGGGTCAGCACGAAGAGAAACTGGATGTTTCAGTCCCTGTGAGCACTTGTGGGGTAGCTGCCCAGGAAGTTACTTCCCAGTTGGCTTCAACAAGGAGGGGATTCCATGGACTCAAGGCTTGACCCTCAGGGAGACCCATGCTGCAGGTGAAGGGGAGCTGGATGGCAGACAGGTCTCACTCCAGGGCAGAGCAGAGGGCAGGAAGCCTGGGGAAGGGCAGAACAAGCTGCGTCTCCCCAATCAAAAGTGCTTCAGAAGTATCCACAGACCCAGCAAGCAGGCCAGGGCAGACAAATCTCTCAAGCACACACACACACCCTGCTCTCAGACCTCTCAAACATACACACATACCTCTCAAATACACACACACACACACACACTCTCTCTCTCTCTCTCTCTCTCTCTCTCTCTCTCTCTCTCTCTCTCTGGAGGAAAAGGACCTGGCTGCTTTTCCAGAATAGAATAGCAAACTGCCAGTCATCTCTAAAGAAAGAGCTGACCCAGGCAAACAGCAAACAGCAAAGAGGTGGAAGGAAACCCCTGCAGGCCAAACCAGAGAGCTCCACAGGCTGGCCAGGGTCAGGCACAGGGAGGACTGCAGAGAAGGGCGGGAAGAGAAAGAGCTGGAGCAGGCACCGGCTGGGCGTCCATTCCCTGCTCAGGAGGGAGCCAGGCCGCCTGCCTCTGGCTGCCCTGTGCCCTGAATGAGTGACGTCATCTCCCTAAGCACCAGTGTTTCCTCTACAGGTGGGCCTGACCTCTCTCTAGGGACTAACAGAGATCAAGTGGATGGGAATGTGTGACTAACAGAAAAGGCAGCCTTGCGTGGAGTTGGAAACCATAGTAACTGGATCTCAGTTTCCCCAGTCGGCCAGCAGTCAAGAAATACTTACTGAGCATCAACCATGTGCTGTGTTACAACTAGGCTTAGGAGTCACACTGACCTGGGTTTGAATCCCAGCTGTGTGATCTGACATATTCCTTAAATTCAGTGAGCCTTGGGCTACTCGCCTATAAGATGGGGAAGTACTAGGGCCTTCGTCCCTGGTTGCTGGAGGATTCCATGTAGAGCTCCTAGCACAGGTGCTTAGTGAAGCTAACACTTACTTTGATTGTGGGGGTTGTCAGGGGCAAGAGATGAAGTGCTGACAAGTCAAACAATCCCTGCTCTCCTGGAGCTCACAGGCCAGCAGGACAAATTTACCCAAACAAGTGTTTCCTCATAAGTAAAACAACAGAGTTGGCCATGACTTGACTTGGGCCCCCAAAATCCTCACTCTGGAGGCCTGATGAGTCTGTCTCAAGCTGGGGTTCCTTTACTGAACTGCCCCCCTCCCATCCAGTGTGCTCCTGGGACTGCTGGCAACCCTGTGCCCTGGGGGAGGAGCCTTACCTGGCGGCCTTCTCTTGGGTTGCACACCTGAAGTATGACCAGGGACCCAGTGGAGACGGAGGTGGAAGTGGCAGCCAGGCACTTGCCCTGCTGCTGGATGAAATGGTCACTGAACAGCCACGTCTGCAAGACAGGGACCAGGAGGGCCAAGTCAGGAAGTATAGTGACGGACGGCTAGGTGCGTAGAGGGGTGACAAAGCAAGTAGGTCATGCTTTTCGCAGACTTTTCTACAAATGACAGGTGGGTGTATGGGTACTCACTCTTCTATAAGTTTGAAATTTTTATAATAAAATATTAGGGGGGTGCTTAGGAAGAGCTAGTCAAGAGGATGTAGCAAGGGATGTTGGGGTGGAGAAGAAAGAGAGGATGTGTGACCAGGGCCACCAGGGAGCTGGCTCTTGCTGGGGGCTCTGTGATCTGCTCTAGTTGGTGCATCTACATTCATATGTTGCCACGTGTGCACACAGGAGTCCCCAACACCCTGCTGCCTGTCATACAAACTGACCACAGCATGCGCCAGGAGAGAACAAGGTGATGTCAGGGCAGTGTTTCTCCCACTGTAAAGAGAAAGTGGGTAGTGGGCAGAGGGCACCTGTGTGACACTGGAAAGCAGAAGGGAAAATGGTTGGAATAGACCCGAGGGGAAGGTTTGGGGGGGCATAGACAGAGAAGATGAGAATGAGTAGAGGGAAACCTCTCACCCCATTCCTGGACAATGACCCTGGCTCCTCTCCCCTCATCCTGACCCAGAGGTCCTAAGCAGCTTACCTGAGGTGCTGGGGGGTTTTTGGCTGATCCTCTGCAGGTCCCCATTCCGAGCAGGAAGTTACCAGCCATGTCCTGGCCCTGGGTTTCTAAACAATTAACCCCCTGCTTAATGATGCCAGGCAGGACTTCCTTCACCGGAACACTGAGAAAAAAAGACAGCTGTCAGGCTTCTTCTTCTGGGTTTATCACACCTGAGGATAGCACCTGCTCCGCTCCCAGGCACCAAGGTCCCTATGGCAAGCAGCAGGTGGAGAGGGTACCTAGCTGGCAGGGGGAGGTGGGCAAAGAGAAGAGGGGAGTCAGATCCCTCTGGGAAGACCTTGCCCCATTGGATTTTGAGCAGCCTGAGACTGTCCTGGAGATCAGACTTGGGAGGCCCACAGGGCCAGAAGTCCAGGGCTCCCAGTCCTGATATGGGCTCAATAAGCAATCTCAAAATGACAGGGAAGGGGTTGCTATGGAGAGGCAGATTTAAAACACACATATAACAATGTATCCAACCTCACAAATGATTGAAGAAATACATATTAGAGTTACTACAGTTTATTCACCATATAAGTATATGGGTGGTGTGTGATTTTCAAATATTTATTAATCAGTGTAAATAAACCCAATACAACAGACTGACATAATTTCATGCATTTAAAGGGGAAATATTTCCTGGGTAAGTAGAAAATGGTGCAGGTGGGTTCTGGAAGACCTTCATTTTAAACAGCTTTACAGTGAAATAATTCATTTACAAGTCTGGACCTTCCTTCAGTTTGCTGTAATTGACATTCACTGAGTGGAACTTGTATTGATCATTGTGACCCAGTTTGTTCCAAGGTTCTGGGTTATTCTTTCTGTCCCAACTGACATCTGGATTGAACAGAGCCAGACGCATGACATGCAGGCTGCTCTGGTACCTCCGGCGCCAATTAATACAAAGGAGGAATCAAGCCAGGAGGCTGCTTGGCCTAAATGAGTATTAGATCTTCTCACATCCTACTAGTAACAGCATAAATTGACCCAGATTTTCTGGAGCACAATGTGGTATTATGTATCAAAGACCTTAAAAATGTATCTGACTTTGACCTAACAATTTCACTTCTGGGAACTTAATATCCTGTAGCATTGAACATAGTTGTGTGCAGAGATTTAGTTAAAAAGATATTTTATTCACAGTGGTTGTTTATACTGAAAGCACTGGAAATTCATAGATATCCAACAATAGGGAATGGAAAATAAATTCTGATTCATCTGCAGAACAGAAAACCCTTTAGTCATTAAAAAGGACTTTGTAAAAGAATACCTGGTGGTGTGGGGAAGTGTGCACAACATACTTAAATGTTAAATAAAAAGGCATGTTTCAAAATATTCTATTTTAAAACACTTTATAGTCCCAGGAAACCATGCTTAAATACACACAGTGTGAGATGAGACACCGGCTGGGTCTATGGATAGCACACCTAAGGGCCTGCCGGCCCAGGGACACTGCGTTAGGAGGTTGTACACTCTCTTGGACTATGGACTCCGAGGGAGTGATGGGGAATCAATTAGAGTGACCATCTGCCTAATTTTATCTGTCTCCTGTTGCCACCGATGGAAAGAAAAGTGGGGGTGGGGGAGCATCATGACATTTCTGGCATTCTTTGATGTGCAGCTCCTGCAGGATCTCCACCAAACCAGGACTCCTTCCTCAAGATAGGTTGGAAGCCCCCAGAATCCCAAAGCCAACCTATTCTCTTGGCACACTGGGGAGGTCTTCACTCTCTTGCCTTCCTGGCAGCAATGCACACCCTGTAGGCCCCCCTTGGAGAGATTGCCTAGTTCTAGAGCAATGTTTGCAAACTGCTGGCCCTGGAACTGAATCTGGCTTTGGATATGTTCTGCCTCACTTGCGGTGTTGAGGTGGTCGCTTTTAATTAGATGGCAATATTTAAAAATTTTCAAGGTTGTACTGAAAAATCTGAATCCAGCCTCTCTTGAAAAAAACACAAACAAACAAACAAAAAACACAGAAGATCTGGTCACACCAAATTTGCATTCCAGCATAGCATTAACAGCCCTGAGTAGCAGCTGCCCCAGGGGCAGTAGTGGGGGGAGTTGCAGCTCCCTGTTTGCCACAGTTCCCTTAACTCCCTAAAGTCTCATCCCCACCCACCCGATTATTTGCATCAGCTGTCTGATCACTGCAGGATTTGTGCTTGCAACACCTGCCAGGTGCAAGGGTGTTAGGAGGCAAGAGCCCATGCCCTTGCTTCCTCAGGGAAAGGGGTTATATTTCCCCTGTCCAGATGGAGACAAGATGGCTGCTGGTCCTCTGGGAGCTTGACTCTGGGGAATGCAGTCAAGGATTATTCCAGACACTCCTATTTTCTTTTTCTCCCTACTCTGTTGTATAGGGATATTGGCATCTTTCAGAGGCGAGATGGGCACTGTCCAAGGGTGGCCAATGGCCACGGGCACCAAGACCTACCCACTGATGCTTATGGAGGAAACCCGGGGCCTGGGCAGCAATCTCAAGACCAGACGCACTTCCTGAGGTGCCTGTGTGGTAGCAGCCCTGGAGCTGCTGGGAGCAGCTGGGGTGGTCTCCATCCCCACCTTCCTCAGGTCCCTGAGCCAGGCCAAGCTGCCCTATTATCAACAGCCCTCTTGAGTCTGCACCTGCTTCCCTCATATGGACCTCCTCCAAGCTGGCTGCCATTAGCCTTTGTGATGCCATTGCATAAATAGCAGTAGGAGCCCCTTCCTTAAGACAGTTTATTTCTATCTGTCAGAAAATTATGGCAACATACTGGTTTTGTTAGATGAGGTTTACTGCCATCTGCCAGGAATTATTGTAATAAACATACAATATCTACTGTGTGATGAGCGCGCTCACAGAAGCTGTAGCTTGTGCAGTGCACAGCCCGCCCTAGTCCTGACCATACTAGTAAAAGCAGGGAGTGAGCAATTGCTGAGGCCAGCTGCAGAACTCCGGGGTAGAGAAGGGGCAGAGCTGTGTCAGGGCTGCAGCAGGATGAGCCTGCATGCAAAAGCCCCTTCCTTCAGCCTCTCAGTTTCCCTCTTGACCATCTGCAAGTGCAGGCCAACTAGTAAGATCTTTCCTTTGGAGAAAAGTTGGTTTCATTTGGGCTTCTAGGTCTCCTTTCTAACCAACAGCTGATCTGCTCCTGGCTTCTCACCCTGAGGCAGAGTGGGCGGGGATAAATAATCTGGATAGGAATGAGGTGTGTGGCTTCTAGCTTACCAGAAAAATGTATTTTCCTTCCACAGTGACAGAAGGAAGAGAAGATGACTTACGCTCCTCATTTAACACAGTTGGTTTCATCTACTCTCCTGTCTTGTGACTGATCCAAGTTTCTGATAGCTTTAAAATTCTCTTCCTCATGGTCCTCAGGGGAGGACAGGGGAGGCTGTGCACGGAGACAGGCCTGCAGGGAAGGGCACACTCCCGGCCCTCCCAGCACCTGCCTGCCTGGGGCCAGTCTGTGTCTCCAGCTGTGTTTTATGATCTCTGACAGAATGTAAAGAAATGACTTTTCCCCCCAGAAATGACAAGATTCAATGAAATTGTCCCCTTGGAGGTGGTCATTTGAGGAAGTTGTTCATTTATGACACTTTTAATGCTCGTCCCTTCACCACTATCACCTGGGAGCTGGGCTTATCCAGGCAGGCAACTTTTTTCCAAGGATGCTGCCATTGCTCAAATTGTTATGGAGCTCCTTGACACTGCTCCTTGACACTGTTCATTCTTATTGCTTGCATCAGTCTTGTTGTGCTGTATTTGGGATGCAGGGTGTGTTACCTGAGTTAACGATCTAGCTTATCCTATGGACTTGGTTACCATTTAACTCTGGCTGCTTCCCAAAAATCAGATATGCTCTCAAAGAACAAAGATTTGCTCTCTTTGAGGATAGACAGGTGCTGAGGGATGGAGTGTTCCAGAAAACCACAGGCATCCTTGGGAGAAAACTGGCAGCAGTGAGAGTTATAGAAAGGAGAATGCCAATTTTGAAGTTATTGCTGAAGGTTTTTTTTTTTAAGATTTATTTATTTATGCATACAAGAACTGGGGTACAGGCCAGAAGAGTGGGGGGGGGGGTGAGAGGATTCACCAGAGACAGAGTGGGAAACAGAACAGGCAGATTGACTGAAATACACTGCTGAGGGGCAGCGGGCAAGTCAGGAGAGTCGGCTGCGCCATGTGGGTAGGTTTATTGAGTGCAATTTTTTCAGTCAAAAATATTTATTGAGGGCCTCCCCTGGTGGCGCAGGCGGTTGAGCATCACACTGTGAAGCTGTCCACAGCCTCTGTAGTGCAGGTTCGATCCCCACCAGCCAGCGAGAATCCCACATGGGCAGCAGACCTCTCCTGCCTCGCCTGCTGCTCCCCTCAGCAGTGTATTTCTTCAGTCTGCCTGTTCTGTTCTCTGCTCTGTCTCCGGTGAATCCTCTCACCCTCCCATGCATCTGTACCCCAGTTCTTGTATAAAAATAAATAAATCTTAAAAAAAAAATTTATTGAGTGCCCATAGATGCTGAGATAAAGCCATAGACAAACACCTCTACCCTCATGGAACTTACTGTCAAGTGCAGGGAGGTGATGAGAAAATTAATTGGCCACATACATGCTAGATGATGAGGTAGACAGAAAATAAGCAGGGAATGCTGGGGACCAGGGTGGTATGCAACTTTTCTGTTCAGGGGGCTTCTCCCTGAGAGGGGGACACTGAAGTCAAGACCTAAAGGAGTTGAGAAAATGAGCCACATGGATTTAGACAAGACACAGAAAAAGACTTTGAAGGAAGAAGAAAGGCATCCTCTGCAGTTCCAGCCGTATCCCCTGTACCCGGTTAGCACACACAGAGGCCCCTCCACTTGAGTGATGCTCCATTTGCATTTTGCATCCTCATTTGCTAGAGCAAACATTTCCCTGTGTTTTTTCCCACAGTCTTTATGATTACAATATTAATGGGCACATAATATTTGCTTAGATGGGTGTATTGTGATTCAATAAACCCAGCCCTTATTGTTAATTGTCTCTTGATTTTTCACAATAGCAGGAAGCTGACTGTCAGCACCTATCTATGCATCTACATTTTTTTTCTTGGGTTGCTGATTTCCTTAGGATAAACTCCTAGAAAGGAGAGAACAGGGTCAAAGGGGAGTGCATGTTTTTTTGGCCTTAGCTACATAACACTGTGTTGTATCCTTAGGGCACAATGCCCATTTCTAGCTCTAAGATCCAATCCACTAAACATTTGCTTCTTACTATACGTCACTTTCAACTCCTGTGAACATCCTCCTAGTTCTCCCACAACCTGCCCACAAAGACAAACACTGACAGCCAGAGAGAGAAAACTTCCTGGGGGGTGAGGGGGGTGTCCCCAAGCAGCTGTCCCTCACCCAGCCAGAGGCACTCACGTGAGCTCTGGGTAGACGTTATCCAGGTACCAGCGGAAAGACTTGCAGTTCATCTTCTTCCTCTGCTCGATCCTGGTGGCCACACTGAAGAAGGAGGCAAGGCTCAGTCTTTGGCCAGTGGCATGGGAGGAAGCCCCAGGGAGGACAGAGGTCCCTTCCCAGCCCAGGAGGGCCAGGACCAGGAGCCATCCATGACCAAATTGGCCACCTGTCTTAAGTCGTCCTTTGACCTAGAAGCTCACCCTAGGTTTCCAAACCATTCCTCTCTCCTCTGTACAGTTTCCTGTTCCCACTCACATTTCAGGGTTAGCCAGCCCCCAGGGACCAGGCTCTATTCTCAGCTTCTCACTCTTAACTCCTCAGTTGGAATATCATTAACTGCTCCTTATATCCATAGAGAAGCTTCATGAACTGACGTTTTCCTTTCCTGCATTCCAAATTAGGAGCAAGAGCCTAATGACCAAAACAAAAACAACCCAGGCTTCAAATATTCCTCAGAAATTCTGGAAAACAAGAAGCCCTCTGCTGTGTCCACAGGACACCCTGGTTTGTTCTCCTGACCATCCTCAGCTACACTGACCACAGAGACTGCTGACAGAGGAACCCACATTCTGAGCCTCAGCTTCTTCTCCAGTAAACTGAGGACACGAACACCTGCCTCAGGCTTTTGTGAGAATCAAATGAAACCAGGGTGCATAAGTGACTAGTAGAGGGTAGGCCTCAGTAAGTATTATTTCCCAATTAAAAGGAAGAGTTAGTGCCATAACATTTTTTATTTTAAGGAATAGCTATAAACAAATAGAGGAAGATTCACTGATGATCACTAATAAAGTTTTCCAACTTTTCTGACCACAGCCTTAAGCAAGGCAAATAGACATCTTACATTGGAGCACATATGCCCCATGCACATTTGTAGGTATACACACACACACCCCTATATCTGAAGTAAGTTTCACAAAGCAATACGTACCCTTCACTGCAATCAACTGTGAGAGCTTCCCTGGCATATTTTTGGCATATTTTGCTAGGGTTGTGCTAATGTAGGTGGAGGGAAGCAGACAGGGATATTGGGGTGCGGGGGAGAGGGCCCACCTGCCAAAGGCCTTTCCGATGGCCGAAGGTCGAGCCTCATAGTAATATTGCTTGTATTCATCCATCCACACCTCTGCAGTGCGCTTGGTATTCCTGAAAGGAGAGGAAGGAGCAAAATAAGGTCACCAGGGCAGTGGCAGTGTTAGAGTTTGGCTCAGGTTCAGCTATGCACAGTACAGGATAATGAGAGAACAAAACTGATTGGGATGGTATAAATGAGTACAGTCTTTCAGGAGAACAATCTGTCTATCTCCATCAACTCTGTAGGTATGTATACTCTCTGATGCTCCACTTGAAGAAATCTATTCTAACGAAATACTTGGCAGCAAAATAAATGCCCATCAGTAAGAGGATAATGAACTATTTCTGTGTGTTGGAGTACTAGGCAGTCTTGAAAAAGGATGTACTGACACAGAAGGATGTCTGCATTTAGTGTGGAGTGATTAAAAAACATGTTGCAGATGGATGGTGCTGGAAGGGATCATGCTCAGTGAAATAAGCCAAAAAGAAAAAGAAAAATACCGGATGGTCTCACTCATAGCAGGAATCTAGAAAACTTAAATAAGGGACCAGGAAAATGAATAACTATAAGAAAGTGAAAATCAAAATCAGCAAAAAACTATGAACCAGAGACACTTTTAGGGGGGCGGGGGCGGGAGGGGAGGGATTGGGGTCAGAATGGGGGGGCTGCAATTGTATGGGGAATATAACAATAAAATTTATTATCTAATAAAAAAAATAAAATAAAAAAAAATAAAAATACACACCTATATGAAAACTTGTACCTAAAAAAAAAAAAAAACAACATGTTGCAGAAAAAACATACAGCATGACCCCGTTTATATAAAAACACAAACAAAAATCCATTGTACATGTATGTACATCTCTGTCCATGAACTATATATTGGAAAAATGAATGAAATGGTAGACCAGAAATCTACTAACAGTGGTTACTTTTGGAGAGGCAAGTGGGATAGGAGTAAGGTTGAGTAAAAGGGAACTTCACTTTTTTCTCTGTATATCAAGAATCAAAATTATATATATGTGTGTATATATATATATATACATACACACACATTCACAAGTATGTATATATTGTATATTGATACTACTTGAATTTTCACAGTGTATATGTATTACTTTTATGATTATGAAAACAAAAATGGGGTGGGGACAAGCAAAACAAAGTGATGGACCATTGGGTTCATGAGACTTGGAGAACTTGCTCTAAACAGGAGCCAGAGCCCAATAAGGCAAAGAATCATCCTTGGAAAGGAGAGATCATGACATTCCTCCTACCCCCGCTTGCCACTCTCACAGGAGAGTGGGTCATGGGGTGATTTCTCAGGAACTTACCTATTCCCTTTTGAGACCTGTGGCTGGGAAGGATGGGCAGATGTTACCCAAGGGAGGGTTGGGATATGGCATCCATGACTGACTTGGTGCCCAGTGAGTGGAGGGCAGCTTCTACTTGGTCATTTGGTGGATTTTCCAAGACTCTCAAGAATAAAGCAAGTCAAAGCAAGGGAGACACTCTAACTCTATGCCTCCATTCCTGAAAGTACCTGGAATCCCAGAAGAAAGGACTGGAAAGGAGCAAGTGGGGAAACAGACCCAGAGAGGTGGGGTAACAGGCAGAGCTGGGGTCTAAAGGGTAGGTGTCCTAGCTCTTAACCCAGGCCACTGTGACCTACCTGATGTAGGTGAGGGCATTGCCCTCAGGGAAGTTGTAGGGGTGTCGTTTCCTGAAGACGTGGCCCACCCTGCTGCAAGGCACGATCTCCAAACTCCCACCGCACATCCACACCCTGAAGGAGAGCTCTGTAGGAGAAGGCAGCAGCTGTCACCAGGAAGAACCCCTTGGCAAGTCCCACTGAGTGAACAGAGAAGGGCTGCCTTCCCTTCCCTTTGGTGTCCCCTGGGAGGCATGTGCAAGCATGGGAGCTCCTTGGCTTGCTTCCAGGGGCTGCACCCACTCTCTGCATTCGATCCTAACTGCTCATCCCATGCATGTGCAACACAACCACACTGTGCCTCACATACACTACACAGCACACATGCATCAACCCTCTACACACACATACACACACACACTCTAAACACACCACATGTATTTTCCACACACACACACATCTTTTACCTGTATATCACACACACCTCTCCACATACATACATCCTCCACATACACCAAACACAGCCCTCCATATACACACCCCTTCACACATACACCGTCCACAAACACAGGATATACAAATATACCACACACACCCTCCACGCATATCAATCATATACATCCCTGTACACACCACATACACACGTACCAGTCACACAGACACACCTTCCACACACATACCATATACCTGACACACACACACACACACACACACACACTCACACACACTATTCCCTACATTTGTGCCCTGGGATATCAGGGGGAGAGCTTTGAAGGAATACCAAGACCCTGAATAGAAAGAAAACTGAGTGAAATGGCCGCATCATTTCTAGTCTCTGTCCTGAAAACCCCATCCAGACATGAGCTAAGAAAGAACACATTTGCTCATCCAGCTCTGAAATCCAGGACATTAGGAGACCAACCACCAAGCAAACCCCAGGCTGCTTCTGCGGCATCTTTCTCACCGGCCCAGGCTTCCTCAGTGGTTTCTGATCACAGGTCACCACTGGCCCTCTTGAGACAGGCTTTCTTCTGATAGTGGTAAGGGAGCTAATGAGGGTTAGCAGATGCCTGCAGTCCCTGGTGGTGTCGGGAGATGCCTGAAGTGGCCACTCTGCTTCCCAGAAGAGGGCATCAAAGTGGTACACTCTGTCCTCCACTCTCTAATCATCACTTCTGGCAAGGCCCCCTGAGCAGCTGACTGGACCTCACATAATTTCTCCTGATTTCCTGCTTTCTTTCATTCTAACCCTATAGTTGGGTACCCTTTGACAGTAAAACATCTTTCTGCCTCAGAAATCCATAACTTTTGGGTTTTTTAATTTTTTAAATAAAGATTTATTTTTATTTATTTATGCATACAAGTAATAAGATGTAAGCCAGAGGTACGGTGGGGGGTGAGAGGATTCACCAGAGACAGAGTGGGGAGCAGAACAGGCAGACTGACTGAAATACACTGCTGAGGGGAGCAGCGGGTGAGACAGGAGAGGACTGCTGTGCCATGTGGGTAGCTCCCTTACTGGGGATCGTACTCATGCTGCAGTAGCTGTGGATAGCTTAATAGTGCTGAGACTAACCCTTTGTACCACAAGGGAGGCCCACCCATGTTTCTTAAGTAAGGACTGTGAAGCTCAAAGGTGTCAAATCACCTTTCCAAGGTCACCCAAATATTCAGTTGCAGAATTACAATGCAAAGTTCACATTTTGTCCAGCCAGCCACAGCATTTGAAACATGTTCTGGACTTCATTCATGAAATTTTTACTGGGGGCGAGTAAAAATTCCATTCTAGTGGGGGCGAGACAGGAACTCAGTAAAATAAGAAACAGAAATAAATACAAGTAGACAAGAAAATGAATGGAACATGTCATCTGTCAGATGGTAATAAAGCTCAGAGGAGTAAAGTGAAGCAGAGTAGGAGACTGAAGAGGGCGGGTGGAATTGGGGTAGGGGGGGACTACAATTTTAATTACATTGGTTAGTTAGAGAAGTTCTCACTGAAAGGGGAGATTTGGGCTAAGACCTGCAGGAAGTGAGGAAGCAAGTCACGTGACTCTTAGGGAAGAAGCATTCTAGGCAGAGGGACCAGCCAGGGCAAACTCCTGGCAAGTTCAAGGTGTTCCCCAGGGAGAAACAGTAGTTGAGAGCCGAACTCTGGGCTGGTGTGTGCCTGTGTGTAGTGGGGGTGGGGGGTAGGGGAATAAGTAGCATAAGGGCTCTGCAGGTCTGGAGCAGTGGAGCAACATGATCTGAGTGAGCGACAACATTTTCTAAAAGGATCCCTAATGTGAACCCAGAAGTTTTTGCCCTGCCCACCCCACCCCCCAATTTTCCCAGTGGTGGCTCCCATCCCTGACCAGGGCTCCCCAGTATGCCTTTCTCAGGGATGCAGGAGGAATGATCTCAGCTCAGGCATACCCTTTCCCTCAACAAAGGGATAAAATGAAAGGCTCAAACCCACCAGCAGCAGGAGTCTCCCGGCTCCAAACTCAGCTCCAGCAGCCGAATTACTGAGCACCTTAGCTAGCCCAGACAGTTCTTTGAAATTCTTCTAAGAGACAAAACCTTCCCAGAACCACTCCACCTTTCAAGTTCCCCAAGCACTGAGCCCTCGCCTCAGGCAGAGTTTGAAGTTAGCTATTTGATCATTCACTTGTTTCTCTGTCAGTCCCCAGACAAAATAAAAGAAAAAGAAAAAGGCCCTGGACGCAGAAGAGACCATTCTTTCCCAGTCCTCGAAGTCTCCACAGGGAACCGGCTTTGCCAGAGCTCCCTTCAGGCTGAGACCTAGGACACAAAAGAGGTCACTCAGGCCCCAAACACATGAAAGGAGGTCAGAACAGAAGAGTCACTGCATCCCAGTTCCCAGAATTTACTCCTCCAAATGCCTGCTCAGAAACTATTTCCAAGAGTATGTTACAGAGGGGAGAGAATTTTACATCAGCGTCCATGCTGGTTGGTTTTGAGTAGGAATCAGGTCTGTTTTAAACCCCTTGGCTCATTTGTGTGCCATCAGGGACAAAGAAGAGAAACACAGACTGACTTTGCTAAGGCCTCACCCCTCAGCAGCACTGCGGAGGCCAGCATGCACCTGCCAGACGGGAGCTCCTGACTGAAATCTGGAAGGCAGCATCCACCTCAGTTTTCCCATCAGAACCCCACCAGCTCTGTTTACTTCTCAAGATATCTAATCAGGATGACAAAGGAAAGACTAGGAACAGGTTCTGCAAAGGACTGGCCCACCCCAAAAGCAAGGACAGGCTTTGGTGTGCTGCTGCTTCCACAGACCTCCGTGAGTGGCTCTACACCATCCCATTCAGGAAGGCTGCTGTGTGGGCTTCCCTCTGGATTTCCTTCCTGTGGCTGACAGGTTCTGCCTGCAGAGGTGCTACCGACACATAAGAGTAGGGACAGTGAAGGTGGGTGTTCATCCCCTCCCAAGGCTGACAGTCGGTGCCCCAAGACCACAGCTCCCCTTAGGGACCTCTCCAGAACATCTTTCAGACCTAGGGGGCCTACACCTCCTGGCAGTCACCAGGGCAGCCCAGTGCAACACTGTCTCTTGTGGTTCCCTATATCTTGCTCACACTGTGTCAACAGGCCTTTTTTTTTTTTTTTTTTAAGATTTATTTATTTATACAAGCACTGAGTACAGTCAGAAGTGCAGGAGGGTGAGAGAATTCACCAGAGCCAGAGCAGGGAACAGAACAGGCAGACTGACGAAATACACTGCTGAGGGGAGCAGTGGGCGGCAGGAGAGGTCTGCTGGGCCATGTGGGACCCTCGCCAGTGGCCAGGGATAAAACCGGCGCTACAGAGGCTGCGGGCAGCTTCGCAGCCCAGCACCGAACCGCTGGGCCACCAGGGGAGACAACAGGCCTTTTAATAAACCTCCTTTAATTACCAGTGATTATTCCAGCTGTATTGGACCTTTATTTAACCAGTGACCTGGGATGTTTCCTGGGCTCTTACTTCCTATTTTGCCCATGAGGTTCAAAAACTGATTGACTCAATCCTCTCACCCCCACACCTCTGGCCTGTACCCCAGTTCTTGTATGCATAAATAAATAAATCTTTAAAAAAAAAACTGGCTTAGGGCCTCCCCTGGTGGTGCAGTGGTTGAGCACTGGGCCGCAAGGCTGCCCATAGCCTCTGCAGTGCCGGTTCGTTCCCCGGCAGCCGGCGAGGAGTCCCACAAAAAAAAATAAATAAATAAAATAAACTGACTTACCCAAGGACACTGCCATATATAGGAGAGTATAGGGTCTGGCATCTGGTGTCCACTTCACAGTGTGCAGGGGTCCGAACACCAAGTACTGAGAAGCGAGTATGTGAGGGGCAGCTTTCTCCAGAATCTTTTTGCCCTGCTGTCTCTTTCAGGGGAGAGGGGTGGCTTCAGGGAGGAGAGGGAAAGGAAAGCTTCCTTTTCCTCCTGGGCTAGAGGGTTCCTTCAGGCAAGACAAAGGCCACCAGCACTGTGCCACACCTCATTTGGTACTCTTAACTCTTGAGGAAGCTAAGGTGTAGGGACACTTGAACTAGCACATGACCAAATAACTTGTAGGATCTGCCCCCAGGCCATCTGACCCCATGACTTATAGTTAACAATTATTCTCTTTGCACCACCAGGTTGTATCCCCAGTCTTTCTGGTAGGGAAGCCACCACCTTATCTGTAAGTTCTTCTACATAGGTCAAGCCGTGTGGCCATGGGTTTCCTTTGACCACCTAAATATTTGTTTATGAGCTGTGTCACTCTGGACAAAGTACTTAACTTCTCTGTGTCACAGTTTCTTTGTCAGTAAAATAGAGATATTAATATGTATACTCAGCGGGTCATTGTGAGGATGAGTTAATGTGAAGCCCTAGAACAGGGCCTTATGCATAGAAAATGCTCAGTCAAGGTTATCTGTTATTGTTGTTATTGTTATTACTTTCCAACTTACCAAAATTCTCACCCCCCCAGATGTCCATCTGGGCATCATACTTTCCCAAGTGGTTGAACCAGGACTTGTCAATCACAAAGATTCCTCCAGCTATGACAGGTGTCCTGGGAGGAAGGAAAGGAAAGAGGCAACACATGAATGAGTCTAAGAAGCAAGGAACCCCTCTAACTGTCTCCAGGGCCCCAGGCAATTTGCCCCAAACTCTCCTGTGAGCAGAGTCACTTGGTCAGAATGTCTGGCTAGCTTTCCTAGCCACTGTCCTCTCTGTCTCTGGGACCCAGAACAGAGTCAGCACTTAGATTGTGCACTTTCAGAAGCCCTTGTAATGCAAACAGCCCCTGAAGTACCACCCAGGCTCCCTGCCCAAGAGAGGAAGGGGTCTCCCGGAACCCACAGCAGTCCTGACCTGATGGGCCGCGTGGGGTCTGTCCGGGCAATCTTCTGCTCAAGAGGGATCTGCTCCCACTTGAAATGTAGGCTCCAGTCGAATCCTAAGAGACAGAGTAGGGTGAGAACAGGCTCAGGGCCAAGCCTACTGGGAGCTAATGCCCTCTCCTTCCACCACCCCTCAGGGTCTCTCTTGATCTAAGGGTCCTCATTTCTTCTTTCGGAATGAGACAGGTCTTTGCCCTCATGGAGTTTCAATCTACTGAGCAAGACAGAGGTTATAGAGATAAAATTAGTGAAGGGATAATATGTAAGTTGGGGATGAAGAATGCTAAAAGGAAGAAATTAAAGGAGAGATGCCTATATTATTCTAATAAGGGTCATCAGGAAAGGTTCTCTGACGAGGTGACATTTGAGTGGAAAACTGAATGAAGAACTGATCCACACAGATAACTGGGGAAAGAAAATTTCAGACAGAGGGAACAGTAAGTGCAAAGGTCCTGAGGTGATTTTCCAAAGGAGAAGTGCTTAACTCCCTTCAGAATCCCACTCAGCCCCAAGATCTACTAATGGATTATGTCCCTTTACTGGAAGTCTGGGCCCCAGACAGGAAATCCACTCTGCACACTAGCCCCAGAAACAGATTCTGTAGAGTCCTGTACTACAACTTTCTGGAATGATGAAAACATCTTATATCTGCACTGTTCAACATGGCAGCCACTATACAACTATGAATATTGAGCACTTTAAATGTGGCTGGTGAAAACTAAGAAACTGAACTTTAAATTTTATTTAATTTTAAGTAATTTCTTCTTCTTTTTTTAAAAGATTTTATTTATTTTTATGCAAGAACCAGGGTACAGGCCAGATGCGCAGGAGGGTGAGAGGATTCACCAGAGACAGAGTGGGGAACAGAACAGGCAGACTGAAGAAATACACTGCTGAGGGGAGCAGTGGGCGAGACAGGAGAGGTCTGCTTCGCCATGTGGGATTCTCGCCGGTTGGCTGGGATGGAACCCACGCTGTGGCTGCGGACAGTTTCACAGTGCAGCGCTCAACTGCCTGCACCACCAGGGAGGCCCTAATTTTAAGTAATTTAAATTTAAATAGCCAAATGTGGTTATTGTCTAGTATATTGGACAATACAACTCTAAAGTCTAGAATAGTGCTGCCAAAAGAAATAGAATGCAAGCCATATGTAATGTAAATTTTTCCAGTAGCTATTAAAAAAATAAGAACATATGAAACCAATTTGGATAATTTATTTTTAATGCAACGAGTCAAAAATATTATCATTTCAACATATAATCAATATAAAGAATCACTAATGAGATATTTTACATTTTTCATACTAGGTCTTTAAAACCTTCTGTGTATTTTATACTTACGGCACATCTCAATTCAGACTGGTCATATTTCAAGAGCTCAGAAGCCAAATGTGGCTCACAGCTACTGTGTTAAACAGCACAGGTCTAGACCACTTCCAGGTGTACATGTTAGGAATTCATGCAAGGTTGAGGGCTCCCCCTCCACCACCCTCAAGACAGTTGTCATGCCATGCCCTTCTGCCAGGACTTGGCTGTGGTCCCTGGGTTGGCAGCATTTGGGAGGATGTGTCAATGTTTGGGGGAGGGAAAGATGAGAGAGTAGGTTGGCTCTGCCACTCAATATGCCAGGAGCCTGCAAGCGCCAGATCTGACCCTTGGCCCCACCCCAGGACTCCACCCAATCCCTTTTCACTTTCTGGAGGTATAGAGGGAAGTGAGACACTCTGGCACAGCTGGGAAGAAGAGCACCAAGCCAGGACTTTAATCTGCCCTCACCTGCTTCCTTTCAGGTCTAGAGCCCCTCCCCTGGGAGCAGGACCCACCTCCGCGAAGGTCAGCAGATGCAGCAAGGTAGGCAAAATTATCCAGGCTGATGACATCAATGATGGGGCTCACCACACGGGTGTGGTCCTAGGAGAAGAAACATAAGATGCTGTGAGGCCAATGAATAAAAAAATGAAATGAAAACAAAACAAAACAAAATCTACCTTCCTGATCTGACACCATCTCTTCAGAAAAGGGGACACAATTGCTTACTGCAGGCCATGTTAGTCTCCCAGAAGCTGTCCTACATCGCCATATCCCGGTTCCTAGAAGGTCCCCCTGGGTGCCATCAGCACAAAGCTCTCTTTCACGCATGATGTTGAGCCCTGCTGGGATCTCACCTCCTCAGTGAAGCGCTCCCTGATTGCTGCAGGCTGAAGGAGTTCTTCCTCTTTTAAGCTGCTCTCACAATTGTAGTCTAGACAATTCCTAGAACATGACTCATGTGCTATCTAGAGTGGCTCTTCTGTTGCTGGTTTGAACTGTTGATTTATTAATTGTCATTCACTTTGTGAATGTTTGGATTGAGTCTTCCCAATAGGATCACCAACAGCTTCGAGGTAGGGGCCCTGTAGTTCCCATGTAATTTGGGTCTCACTCCTCTCGTGCCACATATACTTCAAGGTCAGATTGTAGCTCCTCCATCACCTCCCAGACACAAATCCACCTCCAAAACATTGGTGAGTAATATTGATTTTACCAAAGTTTGTTTGGGGGGAGTTAGAGGTAGTGTTGTTACTTATGCAACTTGCAAAACTGAATCATCAGCTCTCTTCTCTTTCTTTCCAAACTCCTCCTGCCTCCCTCCCAACTACTAATCTACTTTCTACCTCCATGGAATGTTTGTTCTGGACATTGCATATAAATGGAATCATATAGTAGGTGACTGGCTTCTTTCACTTAGCATGAGGTTTTCAAAGTTCATAAATTAGCACTTAATTCTTCTTTATGGCTGAATAAATTACATTGTAGGGATAGAACACATTTCATTAAGCCACTTAACAGCTGATAGACATGGGATTGTTTCCACATTTTGACAATAAAGGATAACACTGCTCTGAACACTTGGTGTACAAGTTTCTGTATGGTGTATGTTTCTATTTCTCTTGGGTATCTATACCCAGTGCAACTGTGGGATCATATGATCCTATGTTTAAACTTCTGAGCACTGCCAGACTGTTTTCCAAAGTGGCTGCAGCATGGCACATGAAGGCTTCTGTTTCTTCACAGCCTCAGCAGTGTTTGTTACTGTCCAACTTTTCGATGGTCTCCTAGCATGTATCAAGTGGTAGCTCATTGTGGTTTTGATGTACATTTTCCTAATGCCTTAATGTGGAGCATCTTTTCATGTGTTTGCTGGCCCCTTGAATATGTTCCTTGAAATAAATGTCCATTTAAATCCTTTGCCCATTTTTAAATTGGGTTATTTGTTTCTTTATGGTTGAGCTGTAATCGCCTCATCCTCTCCTCCATCTGTCCAAATCCTCCTCATTCAGAGATGGCAGGAGCCCCTTTGTCCTGATCTGCATCTGTACATCCTCTCCTGCCTCCCTCTTGATCTTCCCAGCCCAACTCAAAGTTCCTCAGCACAGGACCCTGTGTCCCCCAGGAAGAGAACAGCACCCACTCATTGTAGGAACTCTGTAGCTCACTTCAGCTTTCATCCAAGTTGATTCTCCCATCAACCCAGCAGGGCAAATACTACAATTATCCTCATTTTCAGGAAAGAAAGCTCAATGAGATAAAGTCATTGAGGAGGAGACCATCTAGACTGCCTACTCTGCCTGTCCAACCTCAAAGACTGTTCTACATGCCCACAAGTCAAGAACTGGCGGGTGGCTGGAGGGACACAGCCCCCCTGGGGCAGGCGGCTCACCTCCTTCACCCGCTGCAGCATGGGCTGCAGCCACTCCGTGTTCACTTCACAGTGGCTGTCCAGAAAGGTGAGGACAGCAGCTGTAGCCACATCTGCCCCTCGAACTCGCGACCGGATCAGCCCTGCAGTGGGAGTGAACAGGGGTCGGTGCTGACACTGAGCCAATTTGCATCCCAGTCACCCCTACAAAGTCCCCAGTCACCACCCCTGCGAGCTGAGGTTTCCCCTGAGTTACTGTGATTCAATGCTACTTTGTATTTGTTTATTTCCTCCCCCATTTCTTTCTCTCATTCATCCATTAGCCATCATTACCCCAAAGTCATTGTTTGGGTGCCTTCCTGTGGCACACACTGCTCTGGGCCCCAGGGACACACTGATGAACAGACACAGTAGAGTGAATGGAAATTGCAATCAAGTGTAGTTTGTTACCAGAGAACCAGAAATCAAAAGCCTTTCACCCTCCCCAGGGAACCTCAGGGTGGGATTCTCCACTTGTACCTATGTGACCTGGAGAGAATCTTCTAGACTAAAACAGGCTTGAATTAAACTACCAGTCCCTTTATTCACCTTGAGCATATTATTTAACATCCCTGAGCCTTCGTTTTCTCATGGAGAAGATTCAGAGAGTTAATCCCTGCCTGTTGGAAGAGCACCTGGGACCTAGTTGGCTATGCAGGCTGGATTCTGTTGTTTCCACACCACCAACCCCCCAACCCACCCCCGAAGTCTCCCTGACAGCTCAGAGAATGACCTCACTCTTGGCAGCTCCCTGATCAGGGCTGGGAACTTTCCTGGCCAGGAGAAGGGAGACCCAGCTGGTCCTGCCCCAACAGAGCAGCCCCTGGTGCCCTGTGAGCTATGGGTCTTTCTCTAAGACCTTGGAATACAAATTGCTGCTTAGGGATATTTCCCTACCCGTCACTCTGCCTTGATTCCTCTGATTGTCCACCCATCTGTGCGAAAGTCCATCTGCCCCCCTCCTTCCACTCCACAGGTGGCTTAGCACCCGATCATAAATTTACCTCTCCGTCAGACAAAATTCCAAGGCACAGAATATCCCTGAGCCTAAAGGCACCCACAACCTGGTGCCGGGGACTGATTTCTCTTTGTCATTTCCATTCCAGACCGACTGGTCTTTCTTAAACACGCCCATCACCCCTCTTTCTCTCACCTTCAGTGGTTCCCTACTATCTGTCTTATCAAGTTTCAAGGCCTTTCTCTGGCTTCCAAGGTCCTCTGTCATCTAGCCTCACATCTCCCCTGCTGACCTGGCTCAAAGTCTCCCTGGAAGGGAGAAGAGACACAGGGAGATGAAGAGGCTGGGTTTGGAAAGTCTGGGTTGGCACTCTGCCTTTTCTATTCATCATTCCAGGCAAATTACTGAACCTCCTTAAATCCCACTTTCCTTATCTGCAAACTGGGGTCATGGCTGTTATGAGGACTGAACAGGTCCATGTAGGCAAAGTGAAGGCCTGTTCCCAAGGGGCACTCAGGAAGGGGTCATTCACATTCCAAGGGTGCCTAGTCCTGGCCCTGCCTCTGCTTGCAACGCTCTGAGCCTGGAATGCCCTTGTCAATGGCCTCACAACCCCCTCTCCCAATCAAGGCCCACTCTGATCACCACCTTTCCTCTGAGCTCCATGCTATGCCCATACAACTATAACCAGCTCTTGCTCTGGTAGATCCTGACTCCTTGGCCACGGAATAAGCTCCCGGAAGGCAGGGACAGCTCTAGTGCTGTGGTTGATGCTGGAAAGCCCCTCTTTATTAGATGTGAGGTTACATCTGCTTTATAAAATCTTTAGATTTCTCTCTATCTTGAAAGAGAAACCAAGGCAGCCAGAAGCAGAGCAATAGCCCGCATGCTGTACAGGGCTGCACTGGGACAGCTGGAGGGTCATGCCACATACCTTGGTCCTGGCCTCCAGGAAGGCATAGGACCATGCTGGCCTGGTGTGACATGGCGCCAAAAGAGAGAGGGGAGGTGCAGAGGACTAGCCCACAGTGACTGTGTTGTGGCGCCCAAGGTCCAAGAACTCACCTTCCCGCCGGTCATTGCGGAGGCATTTGACCTTGGGGATCCTAGTCAGGAGCAGACAGTCTTCAGCTGAGGGTGGAGAGAAGGAAACATGCACATTCCGGTACAGACATCAGACCACGAGAGGTTTGGCCCCTCTGGAGCTGCCCAGGAGTTTCATCAGGCAACAGGCCCACGGAAGGGCTAGGCTGGGGAAGGTCTGGGGGTGTGGTCATCATCTACTCCCAGGTGGGACTGAGGAATGCCTGTAGCTCCAGCATCACCCCCAGGGAGCGCCAGAGAGCATAGCTCGGCGGGCAGACCAACCCTGGTGGAGCTGGGTTGGAAAGACTACTGTCCTTTGCGTATGGCGCTTGCAATAAAGAAGGACGTTGCTGTTTCCATTTTTTTTTTAATGCCGCTGCACTGGTGTCATATCAAGGCAACACCACTTCTCCTCCTCCTTTGGCATCAGGGAGCAGGGCCAGGGATGGCACATAGAAAAGACTAGAATCCTAGTGGAGAACACAGAGGTCAGTCTGTGATGGCCAGGGTCACTTCCAGAATGTCTGTCTCGGTGTTCTGGGGAAACAGGGATCTGGAGGGGTGCAAAGAAGGTGGAAACTTACGATCTGAACTGAAGTCATCCACTAAGATGATCTCCTGGATCAGGCTGGCAGGAGTTCGGTTCAGGACACTGGAGCAGCAGCAGAACAGAGAAAGAACCCGACTGAGGGGTCACCTTGCATTTATCTCTCCTGCCATGGGGCACCCTCCCACCCAGTTTGGTGTCAACACACAGGCAAATGCTAGCAAACCTTCCAGGCCCTGATCAGTGGCTGAGAAAGTGTGTTCTGGAGACTCCTCTAAGGGTCCAGCTGACCCTGCTTCATGGACCCTCAGGCACTTGCGACACCCACCAGAGGCAGGGAGGGGCAGGGAAGGCTCTGAGTGGTCCAGGGAGGAGCAGTAGCTGCTCCAGCTGCCTGAGGCTTGTCCTGCGTGGGGCAACCCCTAGCTGGATCCAGAGCTGCCAGCTCAGCTCAGGAAGTCTGGTGAGGTTCCCATTGGCCTAATGGGCAGGAGGGTATTCTCAGAAAGCCCCTCACTCTTTCCTTTAAGGGCCCTCCTCTTCCTCTACTCCCTGGGAAAGGAAACCCAAGCGTCTTTAGTCCCTGGAATATTACCACTGGACACTCCTTTCTGAATGCTCCTCTGTCCATGCTCACTGAAGAAGCAAGGTGAGTATGGGTTCAATTGGACCACCAGGCAGGCTTAGAGGGCAGAAGGGACGCCTCTCTGAATGGCTGATGGTTGTCTACTGGACTGGCACCTGTCCACCTGGGACCTTATGTCCATCCCCGCCTCCCTTGACCTCACCCTGCATCTCTGCCCTGTCCGAGGAACCTGACCTGGTGTTTATACATCTTGCTAACAATTGCACTTCTTTTTTAAAAAAATTCATTTATTTATGCATACAAGAACCAGGGTACAGGTTAGAGGACTCACCAGAGACAGAGTGGGGAACAGGACAGGTGGATTGACTGAAATACACTGCTGAGGGGAAACAGTGAGCGAGACAGGAGAGATCTGCTGCACCATGTAGGTTGCTCTCTGGCTGGCTGGCCAGGGATCAAACTCGTGGTGCAGAGACTGCAGCTAGCTTCACAGTGCTGTGCTTAACCCCTTGCACCACCAGGGAGGATCCAATTGCACTTCTGGGGTCTTCCTGACTCTGATTCACCAGCCCCAGCATCCCAGAAGGGCAGTGGGAGGGAGTGCCCATGGGCTTCATGCTGTCTGGGCATAGCACCCTACCTCAATGACCCTCAGTCAGGGTCTCAGAAGATCACTCCGAGGCTTTGGGGGGCAGCACCAGTGAGACGAGGGTCCCAAGGCAGGGCTCACCTTTTCACCGTGCGCAGGAGGGTAGAACGGGCTTCATTGTGGAAAGTGATGATAACACTGGTCGCTGGCAGGTCCAGGGAGTAGGACATGGAGGGGCAACTGGGAAAGGAGCAGAGCAGTCAGAGGGCAGCTGTGGGAGCGACACAGGGCAGACTTGAGGCCCCTCCTTGTCCAGCCTGCTGCCCCCTAGCATCCCTCTGTGGGACAGAGAAGGCAAGTCTGAAGCCAGGTGCTGACCCCACCACTCCACACCCAGGCTGTGCCCAACTCAGGCCACCCAGCCTGGGTCCTGGAGGAAGCAGCAAGTTGGGGGCCTTTCCAGGCCCAGGAGTCTATGACCAAAGACCTGGCACACCCAGAGCTAGTAGTCACTGAAGGACTTAGGAGGGCTCCTATGCTACTATGCGCAGGCACCCCGCCAGGGCCCGATCCATCCCTGCAAACCACAGCAGTGAAGACAGAAAAATGGGGGAGAAAGGGGGAGCAAAAACAGCCTCTTTGTCTGACGGGACCCCTAGCTTGTTCCTTCTCTCCTGGCTCATGACAATTACGCCTCCTCAGCCTGTGAATTTCTCCCTCTCACTGCCCAACACTCAGCGCCCAGACACCAGGAAGAGCGACAGTCTCACTCCGCCCACGGGTGCCTGGGACTCCTGGAGGAAGCTGGAGCTGGGAGCAGACACCAAAGGCATTTCCCGCCACCTGCTCTCCCCCGCCGCCGAGCCCCACCAGATATGGACACCACGTTTTTTGGCTCCCTTGGCTCCCCCCTCCTCGGGAAAGGGAATTGAGACAATGCATTCTGCCTGGCTTCTCCCCTGTCCTTCAGCAAATGCATCTATTCCACTCCTGGGGTGGCAGGCGGGCAGGCAGCTGCAGTGGTTTTCTTCTTTATAGTGGCAATCTTCTTTATTACAATTGCTCTCTGACTATTCCAGCAATGACTATTTTTTCATTACAGCATTCATTCCTCTGACAGCAGCTTACAGCCAAATTCCCAGGCCCATTTCCGGCCCTGCAGAGTAGACAGTGTCAGACAGGCAGGCGTCCCACAACCCTGGGACGCCCGCGGGAGAAATCCTGAAAGGGTTTAAAATAATTCTCCTTGAGAGGGGATGTGGGAGGGGTAAGAGGAGCAGGAGGGGTAGGGATATTCACTTCTGCCCCTCTCCCTCAGCCAGGCTTCCCTAGTACCCATGGGGACTTGGGGGTGGAAGGGGCTTGGCTGCTGAGATAGGGAGTGCTGGGAGAAGCAGCCACTTCCTGGGTGCCCAGCCCCCCAGCACTGATCTCTAGGGCCCCATGTCTCTTTTCTTGAACCCCAACCATCTGGTGTCCAGGAGGAGGGACTCTGGGTAGCAATACTCATTCTTGACCCACAGGTGGCCAACCTACCCTCACCACATCTGGAGGGGGGACTTGACCTCCTCACCACCCCACTCTTCACCCTGCTTTTCTCTGGGACTTAGATCTGCGATGATGGGATTTACCTGGCTCCCAGCAGCCAAGTGTCTCTGAAGGGTTTCGTGCTGTGTCTGTGTTTTGAGTTTGGGGCTGGTGGGGTTTTCTCTGATAGGTCTGTCTTGTATGGTTTAAGTTTCTTTTTTCCCCTGGCGGGGGCCTCTGTAGATTGAGAGCTGGACCAGAAACAAGCTTGACAGTTTTGAGTCCAACAGATATTGGAGGGTCAAGAGAAAGAGGGTGGCTTCTGCCAGCACACCCACCTCGGCCATGGGAGCCCTGCCCACCAAAGCCACCCCTTCCTTGCTCCCCCAAACATAGGGAACACCTGTGCATAGGCATGAATGTGCATGACACACCTTCTCATCCACCTTGGGCTTCTGAGAAGGCAGGGCCGCAGCAATGGGGCAGGAGGAGAGGCCTACCTTACCCACCCATCACTAACTTGGATTTAAAGAGTCTCATTTTTAAATTAATGATGCCTCAAGAGGAATTTCCCCTTTAAGTTCCTTGTAAGTAGGTGGGAGAGATGGTAGAGATGAGGCAGGTCAAGCCCTCAATTCAGATTTGAGTCGGCAGGTCCTCCATCTAGGCCCTGGTGGATAGGTTGGCCATTCTAGGGCTGCCCATGAAAGGTTTCCAGGTGAAGCCTCATGGACTTAACAGCACTGGCAGACATGAGGGAAGAATGGCCAGGTCTGACTGAGAAAGAATTTCCAAAGCCTGAAATTGGCCATTAGATCTGGCTAGGGGGCCTTCCCCAGTAGCAGGCTTATCGCCCCCTTTGGTAGCATGAGAGATCTCTGGAGGCTGACAGTGCTGGGTTACAGGATAGTGAGGACAGTCTGGGGCTCCCTAACCCCATGTCCATCTCACCTTGCACAAGCATAAGCCCATTGTACCTCAGGCACACCTCCATGAGTGACAAGGAAGGTGCTAGAAACAGACCCCCTTCTACACCCTTATTGTGAGAACGGTCTCTATGTTCTCTCAGATCAATGGCCAGTGATCTGAAAAATAAGTGTTTATTATTCAGATTCAATTCTTGTCTCTGCTTATTGGCCTATTTGGCAATGACAGGGAGCAGGACCCAGCCCTATTCCCACCAACATTACCTCACGTTCATCTTGTGCTCCAGGGCAACTGCTTCAGAAGGAAAAGCACTTTTGACCCAAGTCATTCTCTCCTACCCTCAAACAAGGGCCAGACAGAGGCCTAACCTGGCGCTGGGTACTTAGCTACATCCAGCACAGCCCATGCTGGTCATTCAAAATTGCAGGCATATCAGCGGGACCCCGGCAGCCCCTCCCTGCCCTGTTAGACGTCCACATGGAGCACAACTCGAACCGGCCTCGGTTGTCAAGAAACCTCCCCTGAAGGAAGGACTCTGAGAGGAGCTGTGAAAGTATGTGTGTGTGTGTGCACGTGTGCGTGTGCGTGTGCACGCGCAGAGAGGAAACAGTACAGGTAGAAATGAGGACGGAGGCAGCAGGAGTACAGGGTTGTGTTAAATACCAGGTGCAAGTGATCAGAGGCTGGGAAGTAGGGAGGGTTTTGTGCTTCAGGATAAGGAGCCCAGTCTGGTCCAGATGGTGAGGCCAGGAAGAGGAGTGACTGGGTAACCTGGATAGGACACAGCAGGGCCTGCACTAGGTCGGTCACCCACAGTGGGAAGTCAGAGCTGGTGCTGGCGTGGAAGGTGTCCTTATCATGGCCGAGGGCCCCTCTCACCTACCGCAGCAGCGCCCACTCCCTCTCTAAGGTCGCCTGGGAGGTCACTCTTGCTAATGGACCTTCCTGACCTGGGCTAGGAGGTCTCCTTGGTCTTCACAGGTCTTCCCTCAGCTGGCCAGTCCCTCATGAGGCCAATGAAATAAAGAGAAGTGAGAAGGCCCAATGAAAATGAAGTTTTGAATGTCTCAGCAACTAGATTGAATCTAAGGAAGTTTTTTTCATTTCTTAAATCCACGTGACTGAAAGGAGACAAGCTAGGCAGCGCTGGCGCTTCCCTCCACCTTCTTTCTCCCTTGGCACAAAGGAGGCCGTACCTATAATGGCGGGTGTCCCGGATGGGCCTGTCTGGGCTCAGCTTGTCGCTCTCCAGCTGGTTGAAGGCGTGCTGCCTGTAGGGGTCTTCTCCCGCCTTCAGCTGCTTGGCGGCCAGGTACGCCTTCTCATCGAAGCCTCTAGAGGGCGTTCCTGTCACCTGAGACAAAGGTCAGCATAAGCGGGGCGAGGGCAGCCTGTGTGTGAGGAACTCTTGGTACCACCAGGTGGGCGGCAGCCATGGGATCTCATCCGTCCCTCACCCCCAACTCTGGGAGGAATATCATTATCTCCCCATTGTACAGTTGAGGAAACTGAGGCTCAAGAAGTTAAAAACAGCACCTGCATGGGGGGGGGGGGCGGGTAAAAGGGAATTGAGTACTTTTCTGCTCACTTTTGCTCTGTACCTAAAACTTCTAAAAAATAAAACTCATAAAAAAAATTCCAAGGTCAGAGCTATTGAGTCAAAGGTTCTGGATTCAAACTGATGATTCTCACTCTGAAACCCATCATCTTAATCCCTGCCCTTCGCTGGATATAGAACTGGAGACTTCCAGAGTGCAGCGGACAAGGCACCCAGAGGGACCACAAACCAGAGTGGAGTCAACAGTCAACCTGCAGATTGACAGCCTCCTGAGGGTGAACTTGGGCCTGACCCTGGACTAGGCAGTAACTGAGCAGTAACACCCAGAGCTTGGACGAGCTGCAGCAGAAGCACGCAGGCCCTCACTGGCGAGTACCACTGCTGCCAGAACTCAGCACTCCGTGATGCATCTCCCAGACCCGTGCTTGCTGCTAACGCAGCCCCACATCAGGCCTACGGGGCTCACTGGCATTAAGTCCTGGGGAGTGATAAAAGACAGGTGCTATCTAGCCTCCTTCCTAGAAGCCACCTCCCACTCCACGCTCCCAAAGTGCCCCCATGAAAGACACTGGGGAAGGACACATATGAGATGAATGGCTGGATAGATACATCCTGACAGGTCATTATTTGAACCAAACTGCTGGCCGATGTCCCCCAGAGTGCCCTGAAATACCATCGGCTATGAGCGCGCTCCATCCCCAGCACTTCCACCTGACCACAGCCCACACTAGAGGCACAGGCTCACAGAAGGTGGGAGAGAATTGTCTCCACAGAAGGTGGGAGAGAATTGTCTGTGCACAGCTCCCTTGCATGGGGACTCCATCACAGGCCAGTGGCCCCAGGAAGGCAGCGGGACCTTCAGGACAAGTGGCGGATATGTTGGCTGATGCTGGGGAATATCCATCAGCAGCCCAGTGCTCCCATATTCCTCTCAGAGCCTAGCTCTCCACCAACCTGGACAGAAAGGCCGAGGGCTCCAGGGAGCACTTATCTCCTTAAAGGCTGCCAGTCTGTAGTGTTCACAATTCCTGGACAGGTTGCATCCTGTCCTAGGAGTCAATCCCCAAGCTTCATGAGGTCAGAGTCAGTGAGAGAGCTTGTGTCCCCTGGGCCATGCTAACCATGCACATACGTGCTCAGGATGGTGCCAGTGGCTGCCGCACCGTGATCTCCTGAGTTAGTGCCATGCTAGAGACTGGACAGTTGTAGCAGAGCCCACGTGGTCTTGAAGTTTATTTCAGAAAAGACAGAAAAGGGGAGGCAGAAAGGACAGGATGAGAGAGGGAAAATTTTCTGACTTGAACCTTGAATTGCCAGAGGCATCCAAGCAGCTGGACTTTGAGAATAGGAATGTCCTTTCCAGCAGCAGAAAGAAAGGGTGCTAGCTCTGCCTCCTTCCTCCCAGCCAAGGGACATGGAGAGCAGACTCCAGTCGATGGCTGAGCAACTAAAATGAAAGAAAAACTTCAGAGGGGTGATTTTTTGGAAGCTTCCAAAGGCCACTTAATTGCCCTATAAGTCTACTGTGGGAAATAACCATGTTTATTTATTTAGGACTATGGCCATTCTGTGGGCTCAGGAAACCTCTGAGTCCTCAACCTACATCACCCATTGCCCAGTAAACATTGATTGGAGCCTCCATCTCCCAGACTCTGGGGCACCCTCTGCCAGCAACTGAGGATCACCTGGGCATTCATTCACTTGCTTATGAATGATTGAATTCATCACTCATTCAGCCAAACTCTGCTGAACACCTCCCATGGGCTAGGAAGCGGAAGGAAGGCTTCCAAGACTATGTTCCCCTGTTCCCGCCCCCGCCCCCCAAATCCAGCCAATTGCTTTCCTGGTCCTCACCGAAAGCTGCCTATGGGCCACACCAGAATGTTGTCGAAAGCGTCTGCCTGGGTCCTTGAAATTGAGTCAAACAGCCTCACAGGTGTTGTCGGGGAAAGTCAGCTGCTCCTGGCTACAGATCCTCAGCCTCTGATGGTCCTGCCCCTTCCCAGGTGAGACCCTTTACCTGTGAGACATCTTTCCCTTGTGAAGAAGGGCGCCATGAAATAACAGGCCCGCTCCTTCCCAGAGGTCTTAGCTCCGCTCCCACGTTGACCCTGCTGTCCCCAGGATTTGGAGCTGAAACACTAGTGGACCCTGAGTTGGCCGGGGGTGGGGGGCGGTGCTGGGGAAGGAAAATCCCCCCTTGCAGGACATTCACCTCCTCTCTGCCCAGCCCCTCCCCGGTATCACCCTGTCACCACCCAGAGCTTCCTCCTCTCATGTCTACCCCCAGCCCACGCGTCCACACAGCATTCATATCCTCCCAGCTCGCCGACTCTCCCTTTAGCCTTGTTCTTTGATCCTGAGGCTTCAGGCCTTTGGCGACCCCATTCCCACTCTTAACTCGGGATCTCCAAAGTCCTCATTCATCCCCAGAACAGTCGCTTCCTCCAAACCACACATCCATGGTCATCCTTGCTGCCCTTCCCATGCTGCACAGCCTGCCCAGATCCCGGCCCTGGGTGCCCATAGGTGGGATTCTGTGGGCAAACCACTAGTCATTAAATCCACAAATATCTATTCAAAGACATTGTGCAAGAGGCTGGGAAGATGGGAATAAACGAAAGGCGGTTTTGTCCCCAGAGGAGGGATTTCGGAACCTGGTGCCTTTCCTCCCCTGTCCACACCAGGCCAGGCCAGGCCATGGGGAATGACAAGGAGCATGAGGAGCTGGAGAACTGAGCGTGGCTCCTCACTCCACCCTAACTCCAGCGAGGGTTGGGTTCCCCTCCCCTCTTCGCTGGAGAGGTGTGCTGACTCGCTCCCGCTTTCCCGTCCACACCGCTCACCCAGCATGGCAGCGAGGGGTAAATGCATCCTATGGCTCTGGGCTGTGGGACCAGGAAGAGCTGAATCTGGATCAGCTGGAGAGCCCCGAGATGCTAGGCTGGAGCCACTGGATGGGACTCGAATTGCTGCCCCTTCTGGAGGGGTGAGCGCCTCAGGCACGCTGTGCACTTCTCGTGTCACATGGCCCTGACCTCTTGCCTTGCTTCTCTTTCTTTTCAACTAGATGTGAGGGTCCCAGCACCTGAGCAGGTGTGGCTGAGTAAAGGAATGGACGAGTGAATGAATACCTAAAATAGTGTCCCTGTAGCCACTTAATATAATCAACTGGGGAGGAAACCACAGCAAACAAAAGGAACCAGTTAGCCTCCACGGTAGGGGCGCAGTCACCCCATGGGCTCAGCCTCTGCAGGTGCCCTTCCCCTGTGTAGGGTAAGGAAAAATGTCAGGCTTTTCTGCCCTCCTACCATCAGGATAGATGATGGATCCTTGCGGTCCTGAATGCATGCCTGATGGCGGGCACCTGGAATAGGGTGTGGGCAGAGGTAGATGGGATTCACCTGGGCTGAGACTCGGCTTTTAAGAGCGGCGTCACAGAGATGCCAGCAGCAGCAGAAGCCAAAAGAGAAGCCGAGAGAGACGCAGAGAAGACGCAGCAGAAGCAGCGAAGGCCAGAGAGCCCAGACACAGTGAGGATTTGGTGGGGGGTAGGAGGCCTGCCAGCCTCCCGGCCCCCCAGCATCCCTGCCTGCCATATGCCTGGTGAACCCCAATAAAAGACCTGCAAAAAACCACTGAGGGCTCCAGGACTCCTCCTTTACCCGGTCTGCATGGGATCAGAAAACCTGCACCGTGTCCAGTCCTGCCCTTTACACCCTGGCTCTGCTCCAGCCGGGGCCGCCGCCTTCTGTTCCTGGAGCCCGCTGGGACCCTTCCCCTTAGCCCTTTTGCGCCTTCTGCCTTTCTAGAAGACTCTCCCCCACATGTCTGCACGGCTCCCTTTTCCAGCCCCTGCAGGGGCTCTGTTCAAACCTCACCTCCTCTGTGAGTGTCCCCGGACTGCCATCTATAAAACTGTGCTCCCCTCGCCTCCATTTCCCACCCCCTGCTCTGCTTTATTTTTCCCTTATGGCATCCCTTACGGCACTTAGCACCTTCGGATGTCCTACGTGTACTTTGCATTTTTCTTTTCTTTTCTTTTATCGACTGCTTCCCTCCACGCGTACATGGGCTTTGCCAGGACAGGGGTTGTCTGTTTTAAAGCTGGATCCCAAAGTCCCGGACAGCACCAGTGATTGCGGGACTCAACATCCACAGCTGATGGTGTTTAGTGTATGAGGGATGAGCCTTTGTGACCGCCCCCCCAGCCCCCCCCCCCCCCCCGCACACATGCACCTGGCTGACACACTTGGAACAGAGGTGGCCCAAGCAGCTGGCAGAGTAGTTTTCACCTGCCTTAGGGAATCCTCTTCCCCACTCAGCGATTGATGAACTGTCAATCGCTGTCGCCTGACTCCCAACACCTCCATCACCGCCACAGGGGAGTGGGCCAGACCCAGCTGATCCCATCACTGCATCCCAGGCAAGGGGTGGTAGAGAAAGGTCATTTGACTCAAGGACAACCATTCAGAATTTTCCTGAGGCTTCTCTCTAAGATGAGCTCTTTTTGTCAGCACTGCTGAGGCTGGGAGCTCAGCCTTCTTGCCCAGACATGGAGTCTTGTCTGGAGAATGAAACCGAGAAGAAACAATCGGAGCCAAGAAATGGAAGGAAAACACTCTCAAGACACTGTTTGTGGTCCCTGGAACCAGACTCATCTGATCCAAATTCACCTTGGGTTTTTTCCTTGTCTCTTTAATTATCTAGGGGTTTCGTCTGTTTTTTGCTTTAATTAGTTTCAACTGGGCATCCTTCCCCAATAAACGAAAGTTCAGAGATACAGTCCTTCAGGC